GGATGTAGAAACTAAAAATTACTAGTTGTGTATTTTGTTTTTGGGCCTTAAGTCTGGCCTTTGTTCAATGATTCAAGAATCAATCAGACAATTTCGGGCTTTGGGTCTTGTTTTGTTTTTTATAGTTGGGCTTGGTTTGAAATACATATATATATATATATATATATCGATAGAAAATGAAAAAAATTTATAAATCTGGAAGCAACTCTCCCTTCTCTGGTAAACTACCACCATTCCAAATAAAGTAAAACTATATGTTAAATTCTTAAACTTATTTCATATTCTTGATTAAATCTTTAAATTTTTATTAAAATAAATAAACTTTTAAAATTTTTAATCTATAATTTAATAATTTTTCTTACAACAGACTTAATACTCATTTCTACCTTAATTGTATCGACAAAATCAATACTTATCACGTAAATAATAACATATCAATACCTTCTCTATACAAACAATGCATACGCAGACTTTAAGTTTTTTATCATTGTAAAATTCCCGTATCACAAAATTTAGATTTATTTGCTATAATAAGAGTTTAAGGGCTTAATTGAGAAACTATGATAAGTTTAGGAGCTTAGCATAAGGTTTTGCCATTAAATAACAACATTCATACTGTCAAAACAAAAGCATCATCCATAAGTGAAAAGCAAAATAGTATATTGATGTTCAGGAAGAAATATCAGAAGAGGAACTCTACAAGGCAATGTAAGTTCAAAAACAATGTGTTGTTCACTTTTAAGATTGCAAGAACTCCGGCAATCAATCAAAATTGGGGTTGAAAAATTCATTCCAAAGGAAATGTTTTGAGAAACCCCCCATGGACAAGTTATTCTAAGAAAAAATACAAAAGATGCCTTTAAAATAATCTTGAATAGAATTGAAAATGATTTTCATCACCATCTGTATCAAAGATTCAAAATGTGTAAGGGATCTGTTGATTATGCCCCACCAGAACCATACTTATTTCCAAAAACAATCATCTGGGGCTTATCATAGCCAGCACGCACACCAGCACCAGCAATAGCACGAAGGATGTTGGCACCAGCACCCTTGAAGAGAGATTTCACACCCTCATTCCTAACAATCTGAGAGAATGCATCAAGCAAGCTCTTGTACTTCATAGCTTCACCAGAAGTCATCATCATTCTTCTGCAGACAGTGTCAATTGGATACGAGGCAAGTCCAGCACCATTGGTGATAACCCAACCAAGAGCAAAGCTAGAAAAGAAGCTATCATGAAATTATCCAGAACAAAAATGCATGAATCACAATCTTGGCTAGGGACAAAACCATGAGAGAGAAGCAGGTATTCAAGTCTTGATGGGTTGTAAAACAAGTCTGTTAGACCATCTACTAACCTGTAGTTTTCCAACAAGGATAACCGGCTTCAAAGAGTCGTACATTCCAAAGTAAAGGCCTCAAGACACAATGATGCCAACACAAGAACTATTGAAACCACAGTAAAGCCCAGCGAGACTGTCTGACTTAAGAGTCTTCTGATACACATCAACCAAGCCATTAAATTGCCTCTCACCTCCTTTCTTTGCAGCTTTCGCATCATTAGCAAGACGAGTCCAAGCATAGTCCAAGGAATAGACAAAGAGAATAGGAAGAGGCTCCAGCAGCACCACCAGATACCAAGTTTCAAGCAAACCACTTCCAGAAGCCATCATGGTCCTTTTTAAAGTCAAACAGTCTCTTGAAGTAATCTTTAAATGCAAAGTTCAAGGCCTGTAGAGTAAATCAGAAAATGATAAATGAGCAGTTCTGCAAAGAGTGGTGAATCAAAAAGGAGATAAAATTTGAAATTTAAGTACTAACAGTATAAGATATGACTAACCTGAGTAGGGAAATAATGAATCACATTAGCTGTGTTTCCTCTCCATAGAGATACAAACCCCTCCTCTTGAATTGTCCATTTGAAACAATCCCCAATCCCCTTGTAGGGTTCAGAGAGCCTGCCAGCCTTGATCATCTCATCTTGGTTTTGAATCAAGAGCTTCACATGCTCAATTGGAGCAGCAGCAGTCTTGGACACTGCAGCAGAAACTCCACCCATAAGAATATCAATGGCAAAGCCAGCAAAGCCTTTCTCTGATGGAGCATTGACGCAAACAGGTGATGCCCTTGTTTGGCATGCATTTGTTAAGTGATACTGCTGGGATGCAGTGCGATAATTTGCATGTGCAAAATGCATAGCAGGTCTTTGAAATCCCCCCATAGCAATTTTGAAGCTCATAAGAAGAACTAGAACTGAGATGGAGTTGTCCAGCCACCTTTTGCATGACAGTGGGGTGTTGGTGTCTGTCAACCATTAATTATTTCTTACAAACAATATGAAGCCCTACATGAGAAAATGAAATGTTATAATTACAAATTATAATTCTCTGTTAAAAAAAGAAGTGGATACCTCTAATTGTGGGATAAAATTGAATCTTGAGCACATATGTGACATAAATGATTATAAGACAGTCAGATATTCATGCAAAGTGAATGGGAGACCAGATGCAAATGAGAGGAATAGGACTCAAAAGTCATCCATCATTAACCATGTATTATAACCATAAAACAAGAACCTGATCAAATTCTAGTCTTCTAGATGTCTCCACACCATTAATTTGATCAAAGTCAGGTAAATGGACATTGTTTCCCAGATCAGAGAAATCACACTCCATTCCTTTCCATGTTCTATTTCATTTTGCCTGGCTTTAGTATGTAAGTTAAACCCTTCTATATTGCAGTTAAATAACAAATTTACATGCAGAATCATATATCTTAAAATTTAAGTGCATAGGAAAACGAGCACAAATCTACTAACCCAAAAATAATATAATTAGTAAGATATAGTGGAAATGAAAATCCACAATGACAAAGATTCAGATATGTCAATATCCAACTACCTACAAACTACATAATTCATCTTCTTTTCAATAAAAAGCCTACAAGAAAAGAATTATGCTGGGCCAAGAATGGATCCCAGAGTGGGAACAAAACAACTGTCCCCATTCCCATCTGCCACTGGATACTTAAAAAGTAAATGCAAGCACTTAAAGAGGACATACTAGATTTGCCTGCACTAACGAAAATCTTATTTACATGATCGATATCCACTTAGACTCTAAAGATATAACACTGTTTATGTGATCTGGGAAAAACAAAAAATCCTAACTACAACAAATAATGAGGAGGAAAAGTAACCATCAAAGAAGACAGACTGACAAAACAAAAACATCATGAAAATGACAACCACCCCATCAAAAATCTTAAATTACAGTGGCAGGACCCAGATCTAGAATAAGATTAAACCATATGATATCTACGACATATATGCATGAACAGAGAGAGATCTAAATCAGATGTATCAAAAGATAGCAGCGGAATCAAACGGATAACTACCTGCAAAAGGGTATACAAAGAGGATATAAACCACCCAAAAAAAAAAAAAAAAAGAGATCTCTGGCATCAAAAATCAAGAGGGTGATATGTCCGAAATGGATTTGTTAAGAAAACGAAACAAAAGTTAAATACAAATGCAACACCATATAAGGCGAAACAGCAGCAGACCCATTAAAAAACAAACAAGGTTCTTTAAAGTAGAGGAAACATAGCAGCATTTTTAGAGGAAAAGATGAGAGCTTTAGACTATGCTCCAGAAATGTGGAAGACTTGGAGAGAAAACAGGAGGGCAAGGGCCCTGGCTTT